TTTCACAAGTTTACAATAGCTCTAGGACAATCTGTGACACTCCCCATGTGTGCTAGTTTGGATGAGCCCAGATATTAATGGAATTTGTTTGAACAGTGTGTGTGTTTCTTTTCTTACTCATTTCCAAATCTGTGTCATAAACTGCAGCACGGTACTTGAAGAAAAATGTAGTAGTCCTATAGTTGTTCCATGCAAATAATTTGCCTTTTTCCTTAGACAACATTTCAGAAACAACAGCAATATGCAAAAAGACATACTCTAGATGTAGGGCAGATTGTGAGAAATGAGTGTTCACCAGATACCCAAATGTCACAGAGTTAACTTTGCAGATATGCAGAACCTACAACATAATGGTCTCCCGAGACACATTTTACCTAATTTCTGTGGTTCACTCACACGTACACAGGCCAGACTGGTTCTGCCAGCTTATTACACACAGCTGTCATCTCCCAGGCCCTGGAAAGCTTGAGGCTTGGCAGATGTGATGGATCCAGTACTACATGCAGTGCAGCCGGTTGCAGGTGCTATTCCCTTGCAGTACTTCCTGCTACCCTTTCCCTGGGTAACACAACAAGAAATGGGTCATCACGTACTGACAAAGCATATATTCCCTCTAGCTTTTTATGCTGGGCCTAGAAAGATGTGTACCAACAGATTTTTCTCGGTATGCTCATTTTAAGCGATTTTCTTGCGCTGTTTTTCTTCTCTTGTTCTTCTCATATTCATCCCTCACTTCTCTTACTCTGCATTTATCGCCTTTCTTTGAAGGATTTTCTGTCTGTTACTGAGCTTGTAAAAAGACTGTGTGCTACCTGGGAGAGTAGTGCCAAGGAGTCAAGGCATGTGTTGTTTCGTATGGGCTCACACAAGAAAAGTGTCCTGTGGCCTCTTCATGTGTTGCAATCCCATGGACCCAGACTGCACCTTTCACTTTCTGCATCAGTGAAAAAATGTAGACACCATGCTGTACAGCATGTTCTGTACTATGCACAGTCACAAGGTATTTGCCTTAGAAAATTAAATTAAAGCCATGGGATTGTACTGGTTTTTGCACCTTCATTCTTTCCTTCTGCCCAATATTGCAGAAATCTGGACCTTAAGCAGTACATGCCATTGAGCTGTAAGTAGAGGATTGCTCTTCCAGTGAAAATCATAACCTAACTTAGCCATGTGGGCAAGAAGGAGGAGCAAGGAGAGGGGATGAAAAAGAAAAAAAATAATTTTGCATGGACAAGAAGAAAGGTGCAGTTGTTGAAACTCAGGAAACGGGAAGAGAGCAAGAAGGAAAAGTGAGGTTTTGCTCTTTAAAATAACAGACATAAATTATTCCATAAATGAAAAAAAGAGAAGTGAAAAGAAAAGGAAAAATCCTGATATATAGTAGAGGCTTTGCCTACTATAGGGTGTTTGCGGTTGTTAAAAGTAATTGCACATGTAAGAATTAGTTTCAGAAATGGTGGCGTATCAGTAGCATTCATGTAGAGAAATTAACATTTTATGAGACTTTAGTGTGTAATTGCTCAGGGCTGCTGTGATCAATGTGATGGTGAAAGCACTGGTGACCATGTGAAATATGTTTATGCTGGGCCACACTTCTTTCAGTGCATTATAATTGCCAGGAAGAAAATTCCACTTGAACTTGATTATTGAGGCAAGAATCAAAAAGTTCTATTACGTCCATTTCCGGTGCATAAGCAAATTTATTCTGCTAACTTTCTAACCTTCTCTCGTAGGTGTTTCAAAATAAAATTTCTTCTTGTATTCCCATGCTAAATTCAAGTAGCATATGCTAGACACTAGCTCCAATTAAAAGGTAGCTGCATTTTACTGTAGTTTGTCACATTATATGAGTTAATAAAGATACAAGTGCTCTGTCTGGTAAAGGAATAGCATGAACAAGGAAGGGGACACAATAATGTAATTTCAAGAGATTATTGGAATGAGGAAGTCTATTCTCAGTTACTGCCACTAGATAAATAACATCCTCAACAAAAAAAATTAAACAAATATAAATATGTAAGTGAAGAAGCTTAAGGAAACCCTACTAAGATTTTTGAGAGCACATGGGAAGTTTTCCACTTCTAAGTGGAAAAGAGAACTCTGAAGAGTGAAAATGAGTGAATGTCTCTACTTGCTAGTAATCGTGCTAAATGTACAATGATCAAGCTTCCCAGCTGGTCAAATATGACAGTCACCACCTGGAATGAAAGGCACATGGTTAGAACATGTCCTAGTCACACCTGCTCAAAGTAAAGTGGCATTACACAACTTTTAATAAACATACAGTCTAATCTTGCTGCCATTTAAGCATATGCCTACCCTAAGTCATGTGAACAGTTTGAAGACATGGAGACCTGTATGCTCAGATTCAAGTATTTACGCTAGTGTTTTCATGATCAAAGCCGTAGCAACTTACTTTAATACATGTAACCATTTTACAAGCAGAGTTTTATCTTGCTTGGGCTTATCTTAAAGTGCAGACTAATTATTTTCAAAACATTTAGTTTAGTCACTAGATTAGAAATAGACGTCATTGTGTCTTATCATTCACTGATCAAGGTCATTTACATAATATTGCAAATATCTTCAAGGCTATTAAGATTCAAGATCGATGCAAGGAATTTAAACTGTTCATGTTCTCTGGCACAGATGACACCTAAATCAGAAATCTTAATAGTTGCTTGGAGCAGCCTATTTGCCTGAAAGGTTAAATTGCTCATTTTCCATCCCTTTATTAACAGGAAAGACTTAGTAGGAGTTCATAATCTGCCTCCACTTCTTTTTGCAAGTGCAGATAGAGCACAGAAAAGATGGTTCTTTATCTTTTTGTGCTCTCGGAGTCAAATTCTGTGAAGGTAAATAGTAGTTTACATTTCTGCATCAACTAACATCCAGATGGCTTGTAAACTAGCACAAACAAAAACCATGGTGAATCTTTGGGAAGATTTTTGCAAAAATACTTACTTTCTGGAAGACAATGTTAATGAGTTTCTTCTTTAGTAGAGGATTGGATATGGGATCCCTGTCTATTTCCTTCAGTATCAACAGTATGTACCAGGTGTCTGTGGACTTGCCTAAATCTGATTTTGAACCTGGTGGTATTGTGCACCTCCACAACTCAAATCACTTAAAATAAGCAACCTGTCCTGTAAGCCTGTTTAGTCAAACTTCACACCAGTTTCTTGAGCAACATCTGACTTAAATGCCTTGTATACCATCACAAATGAAACTTGGGGAAGAGGTGCATTTGGCTTGAGTGCTAGCAGCTTTCCTGGGAAACTTTACATGAGCCCACTGAGGCTGGTAAGGGTAGACTCATAGCACCTTCCAGTGCTCTTGGAACAATTCTGCTGCAAAATATACACCACTCATGTCACTAAAATAGCAAGAGGTGTAAATAATTTCATTAACTTCAGTGGGTCTATTCATATGAATAAAACCTTTCAGCGCTCAGTGGGTAATGAAGGGTTCTGAGTTGCCCTGTCTCTCACTGAATTCAGTTAGAAATTGGATCTCTTGGTACTCAGTTTAGCCAGGACTGAAGCATTACAAAGTTTGTATGTGAAACAACAGTCATAATGCTTTCTAAACACTGATGAACACGTTTCCTATACCAGTGATTTTCATTTGAAAATCATCGTGAAATGGAAAATAAAAGTATTGCCTGTCAAACTGAAGAAATTTATATCAGAAGCTAGAACTGTTTGATAATTCATTTAATCCAAAGATAAGAGGAAGTAAGGAGGTGCCTTGTGCCATGGCTCAATCACTGATTATACTTGATAGTCTGGTATCTTGTAGATTAGTCATGTTGTGGAATGAGTGTGAAATACGCGAAGTGTATTTTTGTTGATCAATTTCCTGGAAATCATAGAATCATAGAATGGTTTAGGTTGGAAAGGACCTTAAAGATCATCGAGTTCCAACCTCCCTGCCATACGCAGGGACACCTCTGACTAGACCAGGTTGCCCAAGGCCACATCCATCCTGGCCTTGAACACCTCCAGGGATGGGGCCTCAACAACCTCTCTGGGCAACCTGTTCCAGTGCCTTACAACCCTCAAAGTAAAAAACTTCTTCCTAATGTTTAATCTAAACCTGCCCTCTTCCAGTGTATATCCATTCCCCTTCGTCCTGTCACTACATGCCCTAGTAGAAAGTCCTTCCCCAGCTCTCCTGTAGGTCCCCCTTAGGTACTGGAAGGCCATAATAAGATCTCCCCAGAGCCTTCTCTTCTCCAGGCTGAACAACCCCAACGCTCTCAGCCTCTCCTCATAGGAGAGGTGCTCCAGCCCTCGGATCATCCTCATGGCCCTCCTCTGGACACGCTCCAGCAGGTCCATGTCCTTCTTATGTTGGGGACTCCAGAGCTGGATGCAGTACTGCAGGTGGGGTCTCATGAGAGTGGAGTAGAGGGGCAGAATCACCTCCCTTGACCTGCTGGCCACACTTCTTCTGATGCAGCCCAGGGTATGGTTGGCCTTCTGGGCTGCGATCGCACATTGCTGGCTCCTGCTGAGCTTCTGGTCAATCAGCACTGCCAGTTCCTTCTCCTCAGGGCTGCTCTCCAGCCATACCCCACCGAGCCTGTATTTGTGCTTGGAATAATTATTAATTATTAAATTATTAAATTAATTTAGTGATTGTAGTCACACTCTTTTCTAATTATGTAGAGCAGCAATTACTGAAAGTGTTGCTGCTGGGTAGAGATATTTTCGCCAGTACAGATTATCTAAAATATTTATATCATATCAGTTTGTTTCTTTAATGCTTGGTCGTGTTTATACATTATATTGACTAGTTATGTGTCTTCTAAAGCTAGTGAAAGCAGGTAAAAAGCCACTGCTGGACTGAATAGATAGTCAGAGCGCGTATCAAGACTTTTCCAATATACCTAAAGGCATCCTCCAAGTTCAGAATTATATATGTTATCACTGTTCTTATCATCATTACCTAGAACAAAAAAGGAAACATCTCTAATTTGCTTTAGAAGTTCCACCATGGCTGTAAAAATGCGTCTATTGCTCGATTTTGTTTTACTGTTCTCCAATTTCTTCCTTTTTCCCTGTGTCTTTAAATTACTGCTAATTTGTGTCACATTTTTTATCTGCCTTTTAGGTATTGGAGTCGGCATGCTGGTACGGGAATATGGCAAACTGTCTAACCTGGATAAATTCTACTTTGCCTTTCCTGGGGAAGTGCTGATGAGAATGCTCAAACTCATCATTCTGCCGTTAATCATATCAAGTATGATCACAGGTATGACTGGAAATGTACTGTTAGCTGATGAGATTATCATTGTGGTTTAGTTTTCTTTCTAAGAGAAATAACCTTTTAAAACAACTTGATGGAACTCAATAATGAAAAGTATAGATTGCATACATTTAGATTAAGATTTTCTCTATATGGTGAGAATGGATTTGGAAGGATTAGCACCATTATCTGGTAATTAAGTTATAAAGAGCTGTGAGATAAAAACTTGAATGTTTATACATTTTTGTATCTCTTTCTCCCTGTTTTCAGAAGTGGGTTAAACAGTTGCAAATTGCAAGCCCAAAGCTGCAACTGCATATTCTCAGATACAAAATTAACTATTGTAAGTAGTCCCATGTTGCCATTTCACAAGAAAGGGAGAGCTGATCTCATAGCTTACTGTCATAAAAAGAGGAGATTCCTCACCTACTCTTCCCTGGTCTCAACAAACTCCCATGAGGTACCTTGCGTGAGCTCTGGGGTTTGCTGAATCTTTCTGTGAGTCTATTCAACTCACTGACCTGACAGAAAACTATAGGGAAAAAATTTTTGAAGATATCTGTTTGGTATGTTCAAAGGAGTTTTGGGGAAGTGCAGGAGAGTGGGGAGACTGTGTGGCCGGGAAGCAGTTATGGAAGGAAGAGCAAAGCTTTCCTCTTTTGGAAGAAGCAAGCAAGCCATTGGCTGGAACCCTGCCATGACATGTTAGAATTTGGTAACAGCTCACCCAGTAGGAAAGATTTGGAAAGATTTGCCAGAGCAAGCCCAGACCAAAGAGGCAGAACTGGATGTTTAAAAAAAAAAAAAAAGTGAAGAAAATAAAACAAATTTGTCTTTATTCTTTAAGCCTTTATTGAGGGAATAAGGGTTGTGACTATTTTTAGTCACAACTATTTTTAGAATCGGGGCACATTTATCACTATACTGTCCCCTTTCATCTCCGCAAAGTCTCTATTTTGGGAATGTATTCATGTCCGGGTATTTGTTGTTTGGTTGGATGGTCACAGAAATACATTAAGACATGTACAGAAAAGGAGAGCATGTTGTGATCAGGAAATGAAAGGGGATTTTGATCATGCTATGAAAGTGCTTTCAAGAATAGGATTTTGGATAAAAACTCCCAGCTCCTCAAAGTTCATGGTCAAGAATACCACCAATTTCAGCAGTGCACCCCAAAGTGGCCTTGTGACAGGAAAAGCCTAAGGGAAGCTGCCAAGGTCTTTGGGGCATATCTGTAATGCAGAGTGACAGGAACCAACGTTAGAATTGAAATGGAGAATGTCAAGAGCTTCAAGATGGAGACATCCAGAAAGGAAAGCTGCAAGAGGCAGAGTGAGAAATGGCAGAGAAAATAGTCAAGAGCTGTGTCCAGAAGAATGAAGGGAGGTAAAACAGTTGCTAGTATGTAAAGGAGAGAAGAACAGAGAGAGGAATAAAAAGGGCTTGATGTTTTAATTAGTAGACGGGACAGCAGCATTTTTGTATAGAGGAGGAAATGACACAGAAAGCGAAGGAGAAAGTGAATTCTACTTTTATCATATTGAACTTGAGTCTGTGACAGGAGATCCAAGCTGCCAAGATAAGACTAATACATTTCTTTTTTCACACAAGCTTTTATTTTGTGAGTGAAGTTGGGCCTGTGTTTTCAGAAATAAATGATATCATTAGGACAACCATGAAATGAATTATTAAATGTGCCCCTGTGTAGCACTTGCGAGGGGAAACAAGAATCATGCTGTTAAAAATATTATGCTGCTATTTAATGTTTAACATTCCAGGATGAGTAAACTGCATTTGTAACTACTAGCACAAGCTTGGATTTTAAAGATTGCATATTTCAGGATTTAAATTCATATAGAGATGAGAATGAGATGTTCTGATTCTGACCTTGGCATATCCAATTTACGTAGAAAATAAAGGCTTATTTTTTCTCCACTTCTATGTTAGGTTTTTAGGCAAAAAAAAAAAAAAAGGAAAAAAAATTATAAAGAACAGAAGCTACGTCAAGAGAATATGTAAAGCTTTGCTGCTCTTGAAGACAAAAGCACTAGCTGCCTGTGTGCGAGTAATGCTGAAATTTGTGGCAAGTAAACAGACCAGGGATGTCCATGCACAAGTTTCACTGTTCACCTGCATCCTTCTTCAGGATGTTGATGATATGTTTTGCCTCTTCTAGAAGAAATATGGTAAACTTCCAAGCATCAGAAATGCACATTTGAATTTAATAAGTAGGCCTGTGTTTAATCATAAAGCACATTAGTTATTTTTCCTTTTTCACACAGCATCACAAAGAATGGTTAAGGTTGGAACAGACCTCTTGAGACCATCTAGTCCAACCCTCCCCGCTCAAGCGGGGTCAGCTAGAGCAGGTTGCCCTGGACCATGTCCGGTCAAGTTTTGAATATCTTCAAGCTTGGAGACTCCACAACCTCTCAGGACAATATGGTGTTTTCCTGTTCAGATGAAATGCCATGTTTTTTAGTTTTTGCCTGTCGTCTCTTGTCTTCTGTCTGGGCACCACTGAGAAGAGCCTGGCTCTATCTTCTTCATTCCCACCTATCAGGTATTTATACACATGAATAAGATCGCCCTGAGCCTCCAGGCTGAGCAGTCGCAGCTCTCAGCCTCTCATCATGTGAGAGATGCTCCAGTTCCTTCATCATCTTTGTGGCCCTTTGCTGGACTTGCTCCAGTAAGTCCGTCTCTTTCTTCTACTGGGAAACCCAGAACTGGACACAGGTGTGGCCTCACTGATACTGTGTTTAGAGGAAAGATCACCTCCCTCCACATGCTGACAGTGCTCTTTATAATTCCCAGCCCTGGAGGCTGATATTGCTGTCTTATGGTCAGCTTGTTGTCCACCAGGACCCTTGGGTCCTTCTCTGCAGAACTGTTCTTGAGGCAGTCAGTCTCCAGCATGGCTGGAAGCATATATTGGTGCCTGGGTTTATTCCTGCCCAGATGTAGAGCTTTGCATTTATCCTTGCTGATCTTCTTGAGATTTCTCTCAGACGAATTCTCCAGCCCATCCAGGTACCTCTGAAAAGCAGCAAGACCACCTCATGTGTCAGCCACTCCTCCCACTTTTATATCATCTGTGAACTTGCTGAGGGAGCATTCTGCCCTATCATCCGGGTCACTGATGAAGATGTTAAACAGTACTGGCACTAGTATTGACCTCTGGAGTACAGCAGTAGTTACTTGCCTCCAACTGGACCTGTGTTGGGGATCAAAACCTTCTGGGCCTGGCCATTCAGCCAGTTTTCAATTCACCTCACTGTGCAATTATCTAACCTGTACTTTGTCAGTTTTTCTGTGTTGATGTTATGGGAGACGGTGTCAAAAGCCTTACTAAAGTCAAGATAGACAATATGACCTCTTTGAAATTCTGAATTTTAGCACCAAAGCAAAATTCACACTTTCAAAAAATATAAGGAGAAGAAGGAGAGGAATGAAAAAATTGAGGAGGATCCAGGATCTGTCTTTAGCTATGTCTGTAAAGAAGACAGGCACCTTACTGTTAGTGCCAAGGGAACATCTCTCTGTATTTGGCTGTGAACCTTCCCTGGAATGAGACACAAAAGTATTTTCCTCAAAAGTAGCCTCATCATCATTGACTAAACGTGGGACATACAAGGATAGTACCACAACTTGCATGCTGGCTGTCTTTGGTGGGAACAGGTGTGTTCTGAGTATGCCCACCTCCTCAGGATTTGTGTATTATGCAGACCCTACACATCTCATATAGCTGATGATCACAGCTGTCAGACCTGTGTACACGTTCACATGTCTGCTCAATGGCAGACATTTAGGGGCCCAATACATATGAAGTTACTGCAGTAAACCTTGTGATAACGCATCAGCTGGGCCCGAATGACTGTCTTTTTGGTTCACAAGCTAAGGGGATGGTACTTAGCTCACCATGAGAGAAGGTTGAACATTAAATCATGCTATTGTGTCTTTGCTGCAGGCTAAGAATGTGCAGAGAGACAATTGCAGTGACTCATTCAGTGCGTAATTGTAACCAGCCCATGGTGCCGGGTCCGAAGGCATCTAGGAAGTTTGGATGCCTACAGGAGACTATTTTGTGAATGTAGTTATGTCAAAATACTGGATTCTGGTGATTAGTAAGATTTTTGCACAAGAATCACCAAGACATTATTGCAAATACAATCTGTAGTTTTCTTTTTTAGGATTAGAATGTCTTAAAAGGTAGTGTCATGTCCTGAAAAGCACCAACTTATACATATGCTTTTGAGACAGTGAGCTATGTACAAATACATGTCCCATGAACAGATCCTTGTTCATTTGGACTTAATGATGTAAATCTAAGCCCACAGAAAAGACAGTGATGATAGGAATCACTCCTTGAGATGCCGGGAGTTTCTTCAAACTTTAAATGATTAGTAATTTTAACTTGTTGGGGGAAATCCTGTCTTAGTGGAAAAACTCTCACTGACTTCTTCAATTAGAGTAGTAACACAGTCTATTTTCAAATTAAAAAGGCAAAATTCTCCCTTGTTAGTTAAATGGAGGGCTTTGTAGAATGTGGTTTTCCTTTGCAAACTCAGTTCCTCAGAGTGTAAAAGAGGGAAGGCATTATTACATACTTATTTCACATCTCATGTAAGTTGCAATTTGTGCCTACCTGGAGGCTGAACTGTAACTTAATAAAAAAATTAACATAAACACTAAGCATTTTCTTGCGTGGAAAAATTTGAAAGGATTTGATAGGACCTTGCTTTGGGGACAGAAGAGTCCAAGTAGTGCCGTGCTCTTTTAAATTATTCTTAGTCTACCTCAGAGCCGAATTTTAATTGTTCTCTTCTCATAATTATTTTAATGGATGGCAGATGTAAGTTTAATTTACTCTGACCCATAAGCCCACCACTGATAATTCAGTTCAAAACATCTAGCTCTTTTGGATCTCCATGAGGTTTCTATCCCTCAAATTAGCTAATAGTACACTAATGCATCATTCATGTGAAAGAATTATTTGTATTTTC